GGATGGATGGATGGATGGATGGATGGATGGATGGATGGATGGATGGATGGATGGATGGACAGGGATGGATGGATGGATGGATGGACGGACAGGCATGGATGAATGGCAGCACAGCAATTTTGGGGAGTGACACATCTTCAGCCTTTTGAGCTTCTTTAGGCTGCAAGAACACCGTGAAGGTCAGCCCAGGCCGTGCCCTCACCTCGTGCAGGGGGTCCTTCCTCACGTTCCGCCCTGCCAGGGGCTCATCATGGGGGAACACCACGGAATAGTTCTTGGCGTAGGACTCGTGGCTGCGCTCGCGGATCCAGCGGTTGTTATCGGTGAGGGAGTGGTGAAACCTCCTGCAAAGCAGGGAGATGGCAACATCTGGATGAGCCCCCCAGTTCATGACCTTAACCCTAACCCTAATTCTAGCCCTAAACTGACCAGACCCAGGTGTGGATGCAGCTGCAGGTGTGAAATTGCTGCTCCTGCTCCCCTTTCATGGGCAGGAGAGCAGAGGAACCGAGCAGGGCTCAGTGCTGGCCGTGCCACAGCGCTGACCATGAGAGCTGCAGTCCCCACTGAGCTCCCAGCCCCACCCCAGAGCAACTGGGAGCAGAAGGGGAAAGGAGGGGAAATAGAAAAATAAAAAAATTGAGAGTAATTCTGCCCCTCTTCAGTACAGGAGTAGCCCCTGGGCACACCCCAGGTTTAAACACAGCCCTGATGAGGGAAAGAGCCCTGCACATCCCTTGCATTTTTCACCCAGTTCTCCCCAGGCTGAAATATAAATAAAACCCAAATCATTTGCAATTCGTTTGACGTGTTTTCATCTTTCAAACAGGAAAGCTCCTTGAAGGAATGTGCCAGCTCAACCCATGGTCAGGCTGTTATTCCCAGAGACCTGTAATTCCAGAGAGCAGCCCTGGGCATGAGTGGCACCTTTCCAAAGGCTGGAGAAAGGGATGAAGACAAGACAAAAATATAATTTCTAGGGACTTTTTAAATGATAATTTAATACTTTCAGCTTCCCTCCTCAYTTTCTGGGTGCAGAGGAGAGGCAGGGCATGGGGCTGAGCCCTGCGAGGAACACAAGTGATGCTCCCCAAGAGAATSGAGAGCAGCTGCCTCTCCTGCCAGCAGGGGACAGGCAGAAGGTGACACATGGCATGTCACCAACACCCCTGGTTGCCCCGTCAGCCTCAGCCCCTCCACCACCGAGCTGAATTTTTGACAGCAGCAAGCGGGCAGCAGCTGCCAGATGAAATATTTACAAGCAAATGTTCTGAGAGGATAAATATTGAAATGTGCAGAAAAGGGAGTTATTTAAAGAGGAGCTCATAATTGTCACCAAAAGGAAGGAACGGGGCTGACAGCTCGATGACAGGGCAGATGGGACATGGGAAATGTTTGGATAATCTGGATAAAAAGGGTGGAAAGCCCCCAGCTGCTCTGAGTGGGGCTGGGGTGCAGGTCGGGGGGGGGCTGTGCTGGTGCCAACCCCGTGCCCAACTGGGATTTCTCCATCCCTGGCCCAGCTGGTGGAGAAGAGCAGCTGGAGGCAGCTCCCCAGATCTCTGAAGCCCGATCAACGGGGCATCCCCCAGCTTTGCCACTGAAACACCGGGASATTTCCAAAGCTTTGTCCCCGACAAGGTGGCTGCTGTCACCACAAAAGAAAACCCGAACCCAATCAAAGATAATCAAGCAAATCAAAAGCAATTACCGAGCCAACATCTGCACAGCCCCAACCCCGGCCTGGGTGCTGCTGCAGGGGGGGTGAAGCTAATCTTTGTGTTGGAATCATCCCCCCGATTATTAACTTAGAGGATTAGGCACAGCACTAATTGAACAACAAAACCCAAACGTAATTACCCCGTCCTTCCCCGTCCCYRCCATCTCCTTGTGCCTGGTGGAAGKTGTTTGTGTGGGAGTGCAATGAGGCAAACAAGATAAACCCCCACGTGTAAATGTAAATTCATTAAAGCCGCTGCTTGTAATTAATTCCAGCCCCTCGCAGGGACATGGGTGGTGGCACAGGCAATGCCTGGGTGCCCATTCCCGATGCCAGCACCCAGCCCAGGGTGAAAGGGATGCCTGGGGGATGAAAGCACCCCCAGGGGATGAGGGATGCCCGGGGGGGATGCAGGTGGGGTGACTTGCCTGATGTCGTAGCCGTACATGTCCTTCTCGGGCCGGCCGTGGATGATCCAGTGAGCCAGTTCCCGCCCGCAGCCRCCTCCCAGCATCATCCCTGGGGACAGGGMRGGGACAGGGCAGCGTGCAGGTGAGCCCAGGGGGCCGAGGATGCCAGGATCCACCTGGGATATGCTGCCAGCATGGGGGATCCATTTGGGTCTCTCTTACCAGCGCTGTTGAAGCCACAGCCAAGAAAGAACCCTCGGACCTCCGGAGCCTCTCCCATGAGGGGTTTGTGGTCAGCTGTGAAGGACTCTGGGGACAGAGAGGGGCTGTGCCAGGCAGGCCAGGGCAGGGAGGGATCACACAGCTTGGGGACATGTCACACACTGGGGACACATCACACATTGGGACACATCACACACTGGGGATATATCACACATGGAAACCCCTCTGCAAATCCTCACCAGGGAGAACAGCAAAGACTCTGACAGAGGTGTGCAACCCTCCTCCCTGTTTGAGGGTCCTCCATCCATCCCTCCATCCATCCATCCATCCATCCATCCATCCATCCATCCATCCATCCATCCATCCATCCATCCATCCATCCATCCATCCATCCATCCATCCATCCATCCATCCCTATGTCCTTCCATCCATCCCTCCATCCATGTGAAAAGAGAGAGGGAAAACTGAGCTCAGCGTGGTCCGTCCCCACCCAGCAATGCACAGTTTATTTTTTTTCCCCTGACCCCCTTGCTCCAGAGGAGGCAGGAGCAGAGCCARAATGTTGYCACTGTCACCAGAGCTCACRTGCCACCATCCCTGAGCTGAAACTCAGAGAGTTTTCACTCCAGGCTGCAAACTCAAAGAGTTCATAGAGCAGCAGCCAAAGCACCTCCCCTGCCAGCCCTGACTTTGCCCTGGGACAGGGAGTGAGGGCTCCAGGGACCTTGGCACAGTGACCACAGCAGAGGGGACAAAGCCTTGGCCATTTGCTCCAGCCCAGCGTGACTCAGCTGTCACAGGCTGCTGCTTTCAATCAAGAAGGGGGAGTGCTGAGCCTTGGAAAATGACATTATTGTACTACAAAGAGCAGGCATTCATCTACCAGCAGTCAGCTCTGCTCAGCTCATGCTGCAGTGTAATCAAACCGCTGGACCCAGGGCCAAGGTCTCCACCTTGTACAAGTCGTGTTTGATCTGCTGCAGGGCAGGAGATGTGCCCTACTTTCCCCTAATAAAACCCAAAGGGCTTCCCTTTGAGTGCCTCAGCAAAAAGGGCTTTGATTAGAGTTGATTTTTGTAGTGTAGAGTGGATTTTAAGGCCAAACCAAGTGTGTAAGGCTCAGGCTCAGTGTCTGGCACCACCTCCAGCTGTCACTGAAGCTTTAACTCCACACCAGGCAGCCTGGGATGTAAATCTGAGTAAATCTCACGTCACTGGACCAGGAGCAAGTAGTAAAAATAATTACATAAGATAACACTTGGTAAAATAACAGCTGCAAAAAAAAAATCTTAATTTTCCACTCCAGCAGCCACAACATCAGCTGGAAATCCATTCACCCCCAGACTGGATCAAGGCAGCTCTCCAGGGAAATGGTTTTAAACAGAAAGAGGGTTAATTTAGATGATAATAAATTATAAGATAGAAGTACAAAGATGGGGAGGCCCTGGCACAGGATACCCAGAGAAACTGTGGCTGTCCCTGGATCCCTGGAAGTGTCCAAGGCCAGGTTGGAGAGGGCTGGGAGCACCCTGGGACAGTGGGACCTCTCCCTGCCCATGGCAGTGGAGCCTGAACTGGATAAATTTTGAAGATCCCTTCCAACAAAAAACAATTTCTACGAATCACAAATTCTATTTCTCCACCAGGCTAGGCCTGGAATGCCACCCCTTGGAAGTCGCCACCACTGCAGCCAGACCAGCAACACTTTGATTCATGGAGTTTTTCTTCTCCACAGGTTATAAAGTTTCCCTTTGCCTCCAGCAAGATCCTCAGAGAGCCCCAGCCACCCCAGTGCCACCCCAGTGCCACCCCAGTGCCACCCCAGTGCCACCACAGCCACGTTACCTGGCCCACAGACAGTGGATTTAATCCCTGTTTTCTCCAGAACTGGCACCCTGTTGACAGCACCTTCAATGTGTTGCATGAAAACATCCCAGTCCAGGTCAAAGAGGCCAAAAGCAAATTTTTCAGATACCTGAAGGTGGGAAACAGGAATCAGGAGACAGCACAGAGGATGGCTGATSGTGTGAGACTTTCTCATCTCTGGCAGCCTCGGAGAAGATAAATCGAGGCTGCATTAAATCTCTGCATTTTTGGGGTTTTTGTGAACAACCTGGAGGGGTGGGGCAAAGCCTGAATTAAATAGAGGAATGGGCAGAGAGGCTTTGGGCTCTCCTGTTGCCTCTGCACCCCATATCTGTGCCACAGACAGCCCCAAAGGGAAGGTGCTCTCCCCTGCTTTCCCCACCAGAGGTTGGTGCCCGCGGGATCCGGGGGCTGAGCGCTCACACCCACTCCTCCGAGGTGGCTTCCCTGGAAACCTGCCTCGTTCCCCCAGAAAACCTCCCGGCTGCACTCACCTCCTCCCAGAAGATGGGGTTTGACTCATAGCCGCCCACGGAAAGGGCATCGCCTTGGAGACGCAGATAGACCGAGGCGTCGTGATCGCGAACGTTTGGCATGTTCTGAAAATCGGGGAGGGGGAGTGTGGGGGTCACAGGAGTCTGAGGGTCMTGGGGACACCCCTACAGCACCCAGGGTGAGATGGGGAAAAGGGGACYTGCAGCAGTGACCTGCTGAGGATGGGACACGCAGAGGGTGTTCCCTCAGCACCGAAATTTGCTGCCCCATGAGGAAGGCACCCAGCCCAGCTCCAGCAAATCCGGCCAAACCGTGGGCAAAGCAACTCACACAGACACCCGAGCAGCACCCAGGGGTGCTCTGGGGACTGGCAGCAGCCCCTGTGGTTGATCCTAGCTGGGGAATCATCACTCCTCTGCCACCCGCCTCTGCAGGAGGATGCAGCAGCTCGGCGCGCAGGCAGCGGYGCGCGAAGAATGAGGGATTTGTTCTCGTGAATAATGGATGGGGAAACATTTAGATAACACGGAAGAACGGGTGTAGGGCCTAGTGCAAGCCGTGTTGACAAGTGGAATTAAGTGGATTGAACAGGAGGCACCGAGGGCTGCAGTCTCTGCTCTGAAATCTTCCTCGCTGTGTGCGCACGGCGGAGTTAGCGGGACGGAAACGCCGTCACGGAGCACGGCACTTTTTACAGCGAGGCACCTCCATCTGAAAGGTCAGGCTCAGACTGTGCCAGCAGGATGGAAACTAATTAATGTGTCACCCTCCAAGTGCCAGGGCCTGAGAGAATGAAGCCTCCTCAAAGTCCTGAGCGATTCTCCGCAGCCAGATGGCAGGAACAGATTTATTGGGGCAGTTTAGAAATGCTTGGAGAGTTACACCTCTGCCTGCCAGGGCTGGGGTTTGCTCAGAAAGCGTTTGGGATCTCTATGAATGCTGCTAGCAGACGCCAAAATAGAGATCCTGAGGAAAAAAAAATATCCTGACAGGCATAAATTGGTTAAATATTAAATCTGACTGTTCAGGGTGGTGTGACAACCCTGCTGAGGGTGGGTGCTCCCCCAAGAGTAGAACCCAGCCTGGTAGGAATGGGGGGTCCAACAGGTCTGGGGGTCCCTGGAAGGGGCAGGGGTCTTTACTGCCTCATCCCCCGGGGCAGAGGAGCTGAGCTGTGGCCGTGCAGGACTGACCTGGATGCCCTCGATGCGCTCGGTCACCACGTAGGCGTGGTGCATCCCCACCAGCGGCACGTGCACTCCGGCCAGCCGGCCCAGGGCCCGTGCCCACACTCCTGGGGAGACAACGAGCCCGTGCTGAGCCTCTCTCCATCCCCCAAAAACCCTGTGCTGAGCCCCTCTCCATCCCCCAAAAACCCTCTGCTGAGCCCCTTTCCATCCCTCACATCCCCAGAGAGCTGCAGGGGACAGCCACACAGGGGACAAGGACTGCTGCAGAGATTCCACCCCTTGGCAGCAATGTCACCCATGAGCTGTGACTGCAGCTCCTGCCCCACACCTTCCCCAATCCCACACCTTCCCCTGCCCCACACCTTCCCCAATCCCACATCTTCCCCTGCCCCACACCTTCCCCAATCCCACACATTCCCCTGCCCCACACCTTCCCTTGCCCCACACCTTCCCTTGCCCCACACCTTCCCCATTCCCACACCTTCTCCAATCCCACACCTTCCCCTGCCCCACACCTTCTCCAATCCCACACCTTCCCCTGTCCCACACCTTCCCCTGCCCCACACCTTCTCCAATCCCACACCTTCCCCTGCACCACACCCCATTCCCACACCTTCCCCCATTCCCTGCCCCCCGTACCTGCACAGTTCACCACGCAGGGAGTCTGGATGGTCCCGTGGGCTGTCTCCACCGCGTGCACCCTCTTCACCCCCAAATCGTCTGTTCTCACCTGGATGCCCGTGACCGGGCAGTTCTCGATGATCTGGTGGCAGAGAAAAGGTGGCAGTCACAGCAGGGTGACAAGGGCAGGGTGACAGCCCGCCTCAATGGACATCCAGCCCCCAAATCTGGGAGAAGTGACACTAAACAGTGTTCTGGCCATGGCCATGTTCCTTGGGAGCCTTGCCTTGCTCATAAAGGGTTTTTTCCCACCCTGCACTTTCTTTGAATTTTATGGTTCCTGCCAGCTTTGTCACAGTGACCCAACCAAGAGGGCAACACCCTTTTTGGGAAAGACCCAAATCTGCAGGAGCAGCTCTGCCCTAGTGGGAAAGGAGATGGGGAAGCAGAGGATGAACCCAACAGGCATTAATGAGTAACTGCTAATTAAGAAATACCGTGGCGCCTCTGGCAGTGGCTGCTCTGGCAAGAGTTGAGCAGGTGCCAGCGGGATCCATGGTGCCATCCTTGGGGACGTACAGGGTGCCATAGAGGTCGTCAATGTTCATCAGAGGGTACAGGTCCTTGGTCTGTGCCGGGGTCAGCACGTGGGACTCCACACCGTACACCTTCCCCAGCTGCCAAGGGACAGCAAAGACAACAAAAGTTTTGTTCATCTCTTGCTACTGAAGGAGGAGGAGAATTCCAGGATGGGTTTATCTCCCACATGAGGCAAACCCTAAATCCAGCACGGGGTGATGCTCAGGTTTTGGGGGATATGGYCCTGTATCTGTGTGCAGCTGGAAAAGTGATGCTGCACAACGGGGAAAACGACACTGCCTCTGTTTGAATGGTCAAAAATCCATGTTTAGGTTTAATTTTGCCATCTTTGGAGCAGTTTGACAGGTTTTGGCTGCCCCATGAAGGCCAGGAGGCTGCCCTGGAAGGGCCACTCTGGGTGGGAAGGCAGCAAGGGATGGGACAGCCAGAAACCTGGGGGCTGTGCAGAGCTGTGAGCTCCAACCCCGCTCCCAAATAAACCCCCCTCCCACAGCCCACCCTGCCCAGCCGGGACAGCTCCTCCCTACCGACATGAGCCTTTTGTACTCATCCAGCCGCTGCTTGTTGGAGGCGATGAAGAGCCCCCCGTTCTCCACCCAGCCCGTGTGCAGCCCSGTCTCGGCCGGCAGATCCCGGCTGACCACATCCCGCGTGTGCGCCAGCAGCTCCACTTCCACATCGCTGGGACGCAGCTGCCACAGGAGACCTGCGGGACACMCGGGGACACGGGGACAGGAGATCTGTCACCGYTCCGTGGYCCKCAGGGGGATGAGGAGGGGGTCCCTKTGTCCTGGGTCACCCTGCGGGATTCGTGCTCCATCTCGTGGATACGGGGGAAAGCTACAAAGCAGCGGTTTTTCTGTTCCCCGCGCGTAAATGAATGGGGAAAAGGGGGTTATGGAGAGGATGGACCCCAAAA